TCGTCACTGCTCCGTGCAACGACGCTGGACTCGGCTCCGTAACAACCAATCTCCGTGGTGTAGTGGTAAACACTCGCCTGGCGTTCCGCGAGCACTTTGTCATGGGTTCGTATCCTGGCCGGGGAGGTTTTACTGGGCGCAAATCCTTAACTGTAGCCTCTGTTTAACTCAACAATACAATACAACAATACAATTTTATTTAGGTAAGGTACATACATACAATAAATATTTACAAGGATTGTTTGACTTATAGGTAGAGCTAGTACATACAATGCCTAAAGCCACTATTACGCAAAGCGTTTCGGGCATGATAAACTTAAATGACAAGCTTAATACTAATTGAGCATAATGAGTAGAATGAAAACAAGATATGAAAACATAGATGAAAAAGCAGCACAAATACAATTATGTCGACAAACAGCGCTCTTTAAAGAAAAAAACAGACATTGGTTGACAATAGAAGGGTAAGGTAGGTTACAGGGAATTTATTAGGTATAGCTTCGCTTTTAACTTAAACTGGTTGAGAGAGGTACAGTCTTTAACATGGTTGGGAAGGTCATTCCACATTCTGGGCCCCTTGATTTGTAGAGCATTTCTAGTTTGATTAAGTCGTACTCTAGGAATATCAAAACTGTATTTATTTCTGGTGTGATGCTCATGGGTTCTGATACAACCTTCTATGAAGCTTTTGAGATCAGGATTGGCATTATAGTTTAGCGTTTTATATATGTATAATACACATGAGAGAATGTGCAGTGACTTAATGTCTAACATATTCAGAGATTTAAGTAGGGGTACCGAGTGATGTCTGGGGCCAGAATTGGATATTGTCCTAATAGCAGCTTTGTGTTGAGTAATTAGAGGACGTAAGTGATTTTGGGTAGTAGAGCCCCAAGCACAAATACCATAGTTGAGATATGGATAGATAAGGGAGTAATAGAGAGTCACCAGGGCAGGGCGTGGTACATAATATCTGATCTTAGAAAGAATGCCCACAGTTTTTGAAACTTTTTTTGATATGTTTAGAATGTGTCCCTGGAAATTAAGCTTGTGGTCAATGAGAATGCCAAGGAATTTGCCATCTAATTTGTTACAAATTTGGGTATTGTTTATTTTGAGATTTATTTGATTAGAGGATTTATTGCCAAACAGAATATAGAAGGTTTTGTCAATGTTAAGGGTGAGTTTGTTGGCAGTTAGCCACAGATGGACTTTATTTAGCTCAGTATTTACTGTGGCATTTAGAGCAAGGGGATCAGGACTGGAGTAAATGAAGGTTGTGTCGTCAGCAAATAGAATTGGTTTGAGGTGTTGGGAGGCATTTGGAAGGTCATTAATGTAGATGAGAAAGAGGAGAGGGCCAAGTATGCTGCCCTGGGGAACACCAATGTTGATGGGTAGGGTGGGAGAAATTGTATTATTCACAGAAACATATTGGAGCCTGTCAGTAAGGTAGGATTTGAGGTATTGTAGGGAGTGTCCTCTGACTCCATAATGATGTAATTTAAGAAGAAGGTTTTGGTGGTTGACAGTGTCAAAAGCTTTACGCAGGTCCACAAACAACCCAACAGGGAACTCATTTTTATCAAGAGCTGTATGAATCGAGTTAAGCATACTAATAAGTGCATCGTTAGTGCTTTTTTTGGGTCTGAAGCCATATTGGCAAGGGCTAAGTATATTGAGTTTGGCTAGATATGAGTAAAGCTGCTTATAGATTAGTTTTTCAAAATTTTTTAACAAGTTTGGCAGGATAGATATAGGTCTGTAGTTGTTAACATCTGTGAGATTACCACATTTGTGGACAGGCGTTACTCTCGCTTTTTTTAGAATATCTGGGAAGGTTTGGAGTTCAAGTGACTTGTTGAAGAGCAAAGCAATAGCAGGGGCTAAAGATCTGGAGGCTTTTTTGTAAATTAAAGTTGGTATCTCCTCAAGGGCACCAGACTTGGTTTTAAGGGAAAGGATTATCTCATTGACGTCAGTGGAATTAATAGGCTTTAGGTACAGAGACTGTGGATAGTTACCTGAAAGATAGTCATTAATGTCTGTACCGGAAGATGGAATATCATTTGCAAGGGATGAACCTCAACAGTAAAATGTGTACTTGGTTGTAACAACGATTCTTCACGGTGGGGATCGTATTCCAGGGACCTGCCCGAAACGCTACGCGTACTAGTGGCTCTACAAGAATGTAACAACTCTTGTATATCTCAGGTGTGTGCCTCATTATGCTCTCCCGTCTGCAGGTGTTGGTGTGGAGAGCCTAGCACGAAGCCTCCACCAGAAGGGCATCACCACTGATGGCCTTTCTGTCTATACCAAGGACTCGCTTCCCCAGGAGGATGAAGATCGCCTCAAGGAGCTTGTTAACTCACTTGGCCTCGGATTTCCTTTGTGTCTAGAAGCGAGTTGAGAGCCAAAAAGTATTCACAATATGCATGTGTGATGACACATCTATGAGGTAGGTTTGGTGTGCATGTATCATGGTGACTATACATGTGTAATATTGTTGCACGGGGTGAACACAAATTACAATTTCACAGAGGCTAGGAGGCACTGTGTCCCTCCAGCCTGGATCCTCTTGTTTATTATGGACTGCAAGATAGTTAACTACCTTCAGCTTGCTCCACACCAGTTTTAAAGTACCCACATCAGTACCCACAATGAAGACCAGTCATGGGAGTCAACTTCGTAGTGTTACTAAGATTTTGATTGTTGCCGCCGGAGACGGCTAGTTTATTGTGCACCCCATACCCATCCTGTGAGCGGTAGTGCAAAAAGCATTACAGAGGGCACAAAAGGTCTTTATCAGACCTCATCTTAGATTATTACATAAACAATTTCATCTATCCTTCACACCTTATAGTTACAATGTTAGCTAGTTACAGAGAAAATGTTATTTCAAGAGCTATACATTTACAGTAAGTCATTATACATTAATGGAGGTCTTACCGCTCATACATAATAGTTTGACCAATGACGATAGTCATAGGGTAGCTTCTGTTTATTATTAGTCTTCACAATACACTACTTGTTTCTTCATCTCATATGTCGTTTATCTACTGGAAGCGAAATGTGGATACAGTGCAAGGATTTCAGGTAATTTATCCATGGTAATAAGATAGGTTGCCATATCATATAGAGTGAGCTTAGATTTATCTCTAAATGACTCAATTTTACTACAATCCAAGATATTAGTCTCCGTGGTGTAGTGGTAAGACACTCGCCTGGCGTTCCACGAGCGCTTTGTCATGGGTTCGTATCCTGGCCGGGGAGGATTTATTGGGCGCAAATCCTTAACTGTAGCCTCTGTTTAACTCAACAGTAAAATGTGTACATGGTTGTAAAAACGATTCTTCGCGGCGGGGATCGTATTCCAGGGACCTGCCCGAAACGCTACGCGTACTAGTGGCTGTACAAGAATGTAACAACTCTTGTATATATCTAAAAAAAAAAAGTGTTCGAGTGTATGTCCCTGTCTTTGTTCACACACTTTACACTTTACTTCATCTAGATCCCTATACAAGCCGAACTGCCAGAGATACTTGTAGCCAAGTCTTATACGAGCTGTGACAACATCTGTTAGTCTACTGACTTTGTTACTTGCTCCATACACATGTTTTACTTCACACATTTCATTGTGATGAAATTACTAGTTCCAGTTTGTACAGTTCTACTTTCTTCAAATCCATCCAGTAGTTCTTGTCTAATGACACTTTTAAGGGACCTATTTGATAACTTAAGATTCCGTTCAATGCTGTCTTTATTTACTGCAGCCTTAGCAAGGGCGTCAACTTTGTCATATTCCTGCAGGCCAATGTGAGAAGGAATCCAAAACATTTTTATATATACCCTCTTGCTCAGTATTCTTATATATCTACGTCTAGCTTCCAAGACAAGCATGTTATTACTTGATTGCAAACTGTTTATTGCTCGTAGTGAGGAAAGGGAATCGGAAATAATTAAACTGTCTACTTCAGTATTGTCAATAATTTCGAGTGCTACCAGTATTGCTACCAACTCGGCTTGCATTGTGGATGTCCAGTTACAAATTCGTATATTCCTTTGAATTGTGCTGCCATCGGGCTGATGAGCAATAACAGCACTTCCTGCCCTCCCTGTAGCTGTATTGAGTGATCCGTCAGTGTATATGGTCTGTGCAATGTTGTTTTCAGCTTGTATACTGTGAATGTGTTCTATGGTGTTTAATTTAGCAGCAAGCTGAGCATGAGGGTTGTTTGTGATTAGTTTTTTGGTGGTGTATGCATGGGTCAGGATGTCAAAAGGTACTATCTGCCAGGGTGGAAGGAAGTGCTGTACACTTTCATCTGTATATACATCGTGCAGTCCCATCATTTTAAGAAATAACCATCATCATGGCGTGCCATTTCACCAACCTCTAGAGTAGTCACGTGGATCTCTCTGCAGGTTCAACAGACCTTGACGTCACGTGTGTGCACTCCTGGTCGACGTTGGCTTACTACTCCTGGTCGACGTTGGCTTGCTACTCCTGTGTGGTTGGAAAACTTATTAATGCTCTCATGATCATTACATCAAATAGGACATCAATCAGAGAATAATATCCTTACTATTTGATTCCAGGGAACTCAAAAGGAGAGACTTCCGGCGAGCGACTGCCACAGTACACAATCCAAGACCTTTTCAGAGTGCTGTTTAAGACCGAGACGTATCAACCATGTTGAGCTAATTCCCGATACACAAATGGCACCTTTATAGCTGCCTAGGAAAAGTAATTATTTTATTCGTCCTTAGACCTATTACTTTTGGATATAGGGAATTGTGAACTCACCGATATGTAAACTGAAAATTGTCCTTTTCGCCGTGCCAGCATCCAAGGTTTGTATGAGAAGGAGACCCGCGCTGTGTGTTCTGCATATATCCTGTTGATCCATTCTCATGGGATGTTTAGTTCCCTTCGTATCGGCCCTGCCGAAGTGGGTGCGTACAATGTTGGTATTATCACTCTATCATGTTGTTACATTTGTTATTTGTATGAATTACTGATTGTCATTCTGTTAATGCCAGTTTCCTTTCTGCATTCCTGAGAATCCTGTCCGGATATCTTCGCTTAGAAAAGAAACTCGAGAGATCATTTACACCTTCTCACGTCTGTTACCCTCACTCGCTGTTCTTTTTAACCTTATTGCCAGTGAGTACAGTAAGGAGTGTGTGAATGATGGTGAGTGGCATAAATGTACCTTACCTTGAGGTTACCTTGAGGTGCTTCCGGGGCTTAGCGTCGCTTGGAACTTTTATATGGATCCCCATCCGCACCCCCATTGTTGTTATCTAGATACACATATGTGTTTAAGAAGGCCAGCTCCATTTCACTGCTTTCTAATGTAAAATTAAAATTCCCATGAACTCCATTAAAACAGTCAAAAAAATTCTGAAGGTCTTGTTCACCTCCCTCGCTGTCATGCCAAAAACGTTATTGCTGTATCTGCAGTAGATACAGTGGTTGTGGGGTAGTAGAGGGGTTGTGGGGGCGTGCTGTTCTCTGAGCTCTTCCAACACGTACTCTCTGTACGCAAGTTTCCACCACTGAGATGCTGGTGCTTCCGTCTACTGCTGTGCTTGTGATTTGCCTGTAAGCCCTCCCACTGAAATGTAGCAACGTGTCTCTCATTATGTGTAATATACATTCTTCTAGCAGGGCTCTGGGTGGTGGTCTCCTGTCTGATGCCTCCTGCAGTTCTACTTGGATTTGTCCCTTGAGTGTCGAAAAAGGTCGCAATCTACCGTGCCTCTCTGGGGAATGCTGGGGTACAAGGACACCCTGTCCAGAGGATGAAGGTCTGCCCCTAATGGAATAGGTTCCCTGTGGTTTTGTGATCTGGCCAGAAAGTCCATAACATCCTTCAGGCGTTCCAGCAAGAGACCCAAAAGGTCGCGAAGAGTGCCATGTGTATCAGATCTACGGGCCACGTTGACGCCCCACAGCCACTCAGTATGGACCTTCCTGACCATGTGTGCATCTGGATTTAATGATTTATGTATTTTTGGCAGGACGTATGGTGGCGGTATTGCGTGTGAAAATGTTATGAATGCATCCCTGGCCGCTGCTGTGAGGAGTCCCTCTGTACCGTTTGTGTTGGAGTATACTGTCAGTACCGAGTTCCGACTTCTTTCCTTGTGCGTTTCCCACTGCCTCTCCTAGAATTGTATCAGATGGTTTGTGGGAGCATCTAGTTGGCGGAGGCCTTCCCGCCTGTAGTTCTCCGTTCCCCATACTGCCATTGTCGCCCCTTTGTCGGTTACTTTAATCACTATGTCCGTCCTATTGTTTAGTTCCATAAGGGCATCCCACTCTATCTTTGTAGGATTTTGCCCGACTACAGAGCAGGGTTTCTCCCCAACCTCTCCTCTTAAAAAAACGTCGCTTTTGGCCGTTTGCCCGTATGGCCAAAAGTGGACGTAATTTGAAAATGAAAAAAAATTAAAATAAATTTGAGATTTTTTTTTCAACACCAGTAAGATAAGGGTCCTCTGATAGGTTAGGTGGGCAGGAAATTCGCATAAGTTTCAATACATTATGAAAAACGTTAATTGAAAGTTTCCTCTCCTAACCTTTTCGAGTAAGCCGGACGACTCAAACAGTAACCAGGACAGTATGTCACTTTCGTGAGCTGATTTCATTTCAAATGACGTCCACTTTTGGTCATAGCGCGCATACGAGCCAAAAGTGTTATTTTTAAGAGGACGGGTTGTTCTCCCAGGCCAATTTTGAGTTTGTGTAGCTGTTTGTGTAGTTCCGTGTGCTAGACTGTCCTCATGTACACCTTGCTCATCTATGCCTCTTGAAGCTGCAGTATAGTATAATTATTGTTATGGTCACACACCTGTAAACATCTTATACGTACCAACACACTTGGTCCACAGAGGGACACAAAGTCACTGTACAATATATACGAATTTACTAGAAATAAATATTTATATTTATTTACAAGGTTTTCATAACCTGTTTTCTATACATTGGGGAAGTAGTATCAGTGACCAGGCTACGCAGTGACCAGGCTACGCAGTGACCAGGCTACTCAGTGACCAGGCTACGCAGTGACCAGGCGACGCAGTGACCAGGCTACGCAGTGACCAGGCTACGCAGTGACCAGGCTACGCAGTGACCAGGCTATGCAGTGACCAGGCTACGCAGTGACCAGGCTACGCAGTGACCAGGCTACGCAGTGACCAGGCTACTTAGTGACCAGGCTACTCAGTGACCAGGCTACGCAGTGACCAGGCTACGCAGTGACCAGGCTACTCAGTGACCAGGCTACGCAGTGACCAGGCTACGCAGTGACCAGGCTACGCAGTGACCAGGCTACGCAGTGACCAGGCTACGCAGTGACCAGGCTACTCAGTGACCAGGCTATGCAGTGACCAGGCTACTCAGTGACCAGGCTACGCAGTGACCAGGCTACTCAGTGACCAGGCTACTCA